TAATTGATTCCTCTTCAATTTAGCAAAATTTGATTCCACTTCAATAGAAGCTTTCAAACGAAATTCACTGATTGATTAACAAAGAGAAGATGTTTGGTAATAAGTCAAATTCATTTCTTCGAATCACTTGCGTGTTAATATTCAAAGAGTTGTTATAGAAGAAAAATGACAGCCTTGTCTATTATAATTTTTTTTCATTTCTTCAATTTGATTGATGGATATCATCAAAATTGTCCGTGAAGTTTAATAAATAAATATATTTGACGATTGAATCCTTCTGGATGAATAGAGGAATAAACGAAAGCAATTATATAAGAAGCTGGGCGAATATAAAAAGGTACCAAGTCTGGGGAGAAATTTCACGTCACTTGATCTCGATTTCCAACTGAACTCCATTGATTCAGTTATACTAGCTTTGATAAAAAGTCAGGATACCACCAAAGGAAATCGACCTACGTAACGACCTAACAAATCTTTTTTTTCCTCCTTTTTGCCCCTCTATTTTATACATATGCTTTCACATACTCGCTTATTTCGGTTCGTTACAAATCCTTTTTTTCGCACTCTCCAGCAAAAATATTATATACGATGATAAAAAGTAATACTGGAATACTACCTGCAAACATAAAATATATCTTAGAATGAACTGGACACTATGTATTGTCTCAAAGAAATTTTATTATTTCGAAAAAAACTATACTCAAGCCTTGGATCGATTTTAAAACTCAAAAAAGTTGCTTTAGTCGATTAAAAATAAAAAGAAATCGAAAAAATTGTTTTATTTAATTCAATGATGTCATAAAAATTTTATTTTGTATTTCCCTTGATTTTCCCCTTTCACTGACTTCCAAAATTCTAAAATTTCTAAATTATACAAAAGTTGAATAATTTTGTTAAATAAAAATACTTCTTATTTATTTTTCCACGGGAAATAAAATTTTAAAAAATTTTAAAATCAAACCTTCCAAAATTAAATAATTTCTAAAAATTACAATTAAAACCCTGTATTATTATTTATATATAACCCTAATTATTTATATAAACCCCTAAATATTATTTATGAGAAAATAATTATAAAAGTTTGCATAGAATTTTATCAATGTTTATTTTAAATAATTAAATTCTTTTTTATTTTCACAAATTTTAATATAATTCTTTACAGTACTTCAATTATTTAATATAAAAAAATTCAATAAAATTCTTTGCAGTATTTCAATTATTTTCAAAAAATTTAATAAAATTCTTGACAAGACTTCAATTATTTTCATAAAAATTACAAAATTCTTCACAGAAATTCAATTATATTAAAAATTCAATAAAATTATTCCTAAGAATTAAATTATTTTCATAAATAATAAAAATGTTCCCCGAAATTCAACTATTATTAAAAAAATTTAATCAAATTATTGACAAGAATTCAATAATTTTCATAAATAACAAAATTCTTGCCAGAAATTCAATTATATTCAAAATTCAATAAAATTATTCTTAAAAAGTCAATTATTTTCATAAATAATAAAAATGTACTCAGAAATTGAATTATTTTCATAAATAACAAAATTCTTCGCAGAAATTCAATTATATTCTATAATTCTTGTAAACAATTAAATAAATTCCATAAATAATAAAGTTATTTGCAAATTATAGAATTTTTGATAAAATTTTTTATTTAAGAATTCAATTTTAAGAAATAATCAATTTAAATACAAAAATTCAATTATTTATAAATAACTGTAAAATATTTAAATTTTCAATAAAGAATTTTTGTATAATTTAAAAAAAAAAACAAATTTATTTTTTGAAGAATTTTAATTAAAAATTTTAAATAAGTTTCTTTTCTCCAAAATGTGAAAAATGATTTTAAAATATGTTAATGTTATTACTTTTTGTACGAATTTGAATTTTTTGAAATATGTTATTTAAAAAATATTGAAAATAATTGAATTTTTAAAAATTAGAATAAAAAATTCTCAGAATTACTTTTTTTTAAAATATTTTAATATTCATTTGTAGAAGCTAAATTTCATTAATTTTCGTTTTTAAATTTACTCTTGAAGATTTTTCATTCAAATTTTTTGAGAATTCAATTACAAAATTTCAATTATTCAAAATCTTTTTAATTTTTATTTCGAAAATTTAATTAGAAAAATTATCCGAAACTAATTTTTTAAAAGATTTGTTTGCAGTTATTTTTCACACTATAAATATCGAAATAAATTGTATTTTTTACGAAAAATATGGTATATTTTGTTGCAATATTTAAAAAAAAAAGTCGAAAAAGTCGCAAAAAATTTTTAAAATAAGTAAAAAAAAGTCGCATTTTTTAAAAATAGTCGAACAAAGTGGAAAATATTATTTCAAACAAAGAATTATTATTTCAATTTTCAAAAATGATAATTAAGAAATAGAAAGAAATAGGAACGAAATTACGTAGCAAAGATTCAAAAAAGCGAAATATATGAGAAGAAAATGATAAAACAATAGAATTTTGCAGCCCTCTCTTAATTTTAAAATAGAGAATTTTTGCGTGGGTCAAAAGGGTGGCATGTATATGAGCTGGAGAAAGAGAATATGTTTAAGAATTGCAAGATAGGTGTAGGAAGTTGCTCTAGATTAAATTTCAGATAAACCAGATTATTAACATTCGAAGAATTGAATGCAATTTATTTCTCTTTTATTATTTTACTCAAATTCATTAATTTTTTCGTTTTTGTCATATAATTTGAAAGCAACTTAATTTTTTTTAAATTACTAACATTATTAATAATTATTTATGCCTAAGTATATTTTATTATTAATTACCATTAATTATCATCAAAATTATTAATAAAAATTAATTAATAATTATTAATAAAATTTTGTTAGACTTAATAATATTAAATTACACCCAAAATAATCCCAAATAATCGTAAAACAGTTTTTATCAATTCAAAATTGATCGTATTTGAAATAAAAAATTTCGATAAATTCGAAATTTATCCTATTTCAAAGAAAAAAATATTCAGTACTAAAATAATAGAAAAATTGTAAAAAAAAATGCACCAACCGATTTCATACTTGGGACCATGAGACAGAGGATGGGGAATATCCAAATTATCCGATTTTTTATTCTTCCAAATATTCCGGGGTATTATCCAAATTGCGTGGTATTTTTGTCTTCAGACTCTTGACACAAAATAACACTGCACAACACAAAACAATTTTGTCACTGATTCTAAACCGTCATATATGCAACAATGAAATCGCGAATTTTTTATTCCGTGAAATGACAAATTTACGCAATTAAAACAGTTTTTTCAATAAAAAGAAAATACTATTACTCAATATTATCATTACTGTTCGATTTATTCCGAAAACTATCCGTTGAATTATAAGGATTGAACTCGAATTATTTTCACCGCGAAAAATAAGTTATGTCGAAAATTTTGAGGTTAGGATGCGACTGTGCTGATAACGCTGATAATATTTTGACAAAAAACACAGAAATTACAAACGCGTCAAAAAAATCAACATTTATCTTTTAACTAGACGCAAACTACCGGATTGCCACACAATTATTAGATAGAAATCGTTAATGATCAACTTAAAGACATAAAAACAATATCTGAATAATTACTTTCTTGAACAATGTTTACAATTAACGATGTTTTTAACGCGGGAATGAGCGGAAACCGGGAACCACCTTCAGACGGCTTTGTGCCAAAGTCGTATAATGAATACAGGTTCGCCCAACGAAAAATGAACGGAGCATAATATCCGAACCCCTCTTGTTTCCAAAACCGGAAGTTCGATTTTACAGAAAAACGTTAATATTTTTGCAAAAAACTAATTTTTGGCTTATTTTTCTTTTCCCTTTTTACGCCCCTCTACATAATTAATATGCTACCGCTCTCACTATATTTGGAGAATTTTTGTTTTATTTTTACATTTTTCTTCTACTGAAAATAGGATTTTTCCAAATATTGTAATACATGAATTTAATTTTATTTCCCACTAAAATAAGGCAGATTTGATTTAATTATAACAAATTTTCGACAATAAGGCAAAAATTTAGACAAAAATACACCTGTAAAGAAAGAATTATTCATACATTGTTAAATTACCCCCACTCCCCTTGCTGAAATGGAATAAGCAATGGACTCGCCCCTAATATTGAGATACAAAAAATTTTCAATTTTAGCCCTAAAATCTCGAAAAAATTTCCCGATTCTATTATCTAAGACAATTTGGACGCAATTTACTTGAATATTACGATTAGATACGGAGTTATTTGATATTTTTGTTACCCGATTGTAATCTCTAGTCATGTACAGCACGCATTCTACCTGCGATTAATCCGACAAAATTTACATATAAAATACTTGCATCCGTGCAATTTTAACATTATTACTAGCAATACTTTACGATTTTTATATTTTAACTATGAAATTTACTCTTACGATTCCTTATTTACTTGTTACGACAATGAAACATCGTGGACACTTGAGGGGACTGCGGCCATTTTGTGCCAACTGAAGGAACTGAAGTGAGGCACGTAAAAGGTTGGGAAGGTAGAAGATGAAATCAGGGATGGGAAGGTGAAACATATTCGGGGTATGCTGCATTTCTATTGGCTAAGCAAAAGCGCGGTAATATTCAAAACGTGCATTGTTGCATATTAAGGTGCGTTCATTAGATAAACACTTGCAACTGTAACTAAACTGATCGATAATTCGATTTAGTAAATAAATCTAACCTCACTTTTACGACAATCAATATTGTTATAAGTCGTTATTTTTAAATGTTTTTAACGTTCTTTTAAACAAAAACAGTACAACATGTTTTTTAAACAAAGGAAGTTATTTATACGACAATCCTGTTCTAACATTAAAAAAATCATATTGGGTGTTTTCGGCAATCACTGGTAGTAATTGAAAACAGTTATAAGTGGTGCTCAAACGATTTTTTAGTTTAAGTGAGAATTGCACACTTGTGAATCAGGCTTCACTTGTTGATCATGCGCAGCCACTGTTTTGGAAGTGAAGTGCGTAAAATCATAATTTATACATATTACATCATGTGAGTGGTATAATTCAGTGCAATACTTAGTGTAATTTATAAGTATATTTTAAATTGTATTTGATTTTAAATAAAATGAGTGAAAATCTTACATATTCGCGAATTATCAGCGTAACAGCAGTAATCGACCCATCAACAGGTGAACTTGTCGTCAATCCTAAAGACCAGCGTAGGTTATGTTGTTTGTTGAACACAAACGGTAATTATGCATATTAAATTTTCTTTTATTTTTAAAAATAATTAATAATTTTTTAATTGAGATTTTTTATTAATTTTAAAATTTTCAATTAAGAATTTTGACTAAGTAAATATTGTTTAGTTAAAATCCAAAAAATAAAATTTAACTAAACAAAAATTCGCTAACTCAAAAGCAAAAGTGAGACCAAAATTTTTTATGGGTAAAATTAACAAAAGAATCTTTTTTTAAATTATTGTACCCGATTGATTTCGGGTATGTAAACATGCTTCACCCGACCCGAAAAGTGAAAAGCCCGAAAATATCTGATCAGGTTTCCGATTTCTGGCTTTTTTCATACCTCTAATTTTTTATATTTTTTAGTAAAAATATGTAAATATTCGGGGACAGCAGTTGTGTTAAAATTTTCTTTTTTACTTACTGACATTGCGATTAATGCCAGTGATAAGTAGTGTTTATTTTTCTGAATTGAATTTCTTTAATTTTTGTTTCAATGTTCTAATTTAGGGAAGACTGGGGCGAAAAGTTAAACTGTCAAAACAGTTAAAATTCATTATCTTTCGAACGGAAATAAATAATGGATGGGGCGAAAAGTTAAATGTATTTTGTTACATGTTAATAAAATTTTTTTTTTATTTTTCGTTTTTTTTTGGTTTATTTGTTTAAAAATTATTTATTTGACATTAGGCAAGTACTTTGTCAAAGAACAAGACAGTTTACGTCAAATAAACCAAATTTTTTTTTGAAATTTTAATTTATTAACTTTAAAACTGTTCTAAAGCTTTTGTTAAATAAACACATATCTTTTATTAACTAAATTATTTTTTTACGTATACTTTAATTAGATTGTCATCTGATTATATTGTCTAAAAAAATCATTTATGCAAAACTTAATTTTTCGCCCCAATCTCCACTAAAAATTAAGTACCACAATTTTTAAATTAAAATTACTTGAAAATCTTATTTTTTTTTAAAAATGTGCAATCAAATTCTTTAAGATATTTAATTATTTAATAATAATAATTTTGAGACTCTGTAATTAATAGGCGATACTTATGATAGACAAATATTTTTTTTTCTTTTTAGGAGAAGAAGATATCAGATTCTTATCACCTAGTGAGGTGGAATCGTTAATACCATCACATTCAGTAGACATTGGGCCATTACCAACAACTTCAACGAATATTGAAGATCATATTCAAGATAACGATGATAATATTAATGATAATGACGGCAATAATTATGTGGATGATTCCAATTATGCCGCTGATGAAAATTATGGCGATGATGAATGTTATGGCGATGATGATAATTATAATGCCAATTGTTCTGATGAAGGTGAAAAGGATCTAGGTAATTTTCATAGTCTATATTTCTGACGCGACACGAAAAAAGTACCTACAGCCGCAAAAGAGAATTTTACAGGGTGAGCGTTTAAAGCAACACCAGGAACAGAAAATCATTTACTTACGCTAGCATGCTTATTTTTAAAGCTTTATATTATTTACCCTATTTTAGTTCTTCAATTTTTGATTTTTTCATGTGAAAAAGCAACTAAAAATCTATCGAATAGCACCATAAACTAAAAATCTTTCTTTTAAACGATAGGTACCTTTTCTCCTTTCAAACTAAAATTAAAAATTTTTTATTTCTCGCAATTATAATACTTTGTTTAGCTTCAAACACGTAAGTTGAAAGTAAATAACATGAGAAATACCAAAAAATTCATTAAAACAAAAATAAAATAATTTTCATGTCCTTCAACTACTTTCGATCAACCTTTGAAGAGGTTTCGAGACATTTGATTCAAGTTGAAAATTTCAATTCTTAAATCCTCACAATTCTAATACTTTCTTTAGCTTCAAACACGTTAATTGAATTTAATTAACAAGAAAAATAGCAACAAATTCATTTAAAAAAATAAAATAATTTTCATGTCCTTCGACTAATTTTGATCAACCTTCGAAAAGGTTTCGAAGCATTCGATTCAACTTGAAAATTTGAATTCTTTAGTTCTCACAATTCTCCTACTTCTTTTATCTTCAAACACGTAAATTGAAAGTAAATAAAACATGAGAAATACCAACAAATTCATTAGAACAAAAAAAAATTATTTGCATGTCCTTTGATTACTTTTCATAAACCTTCGAAGAGGTTTTGAGGCATTCACTTCAATATATTAAATCTATATTTATCTCTCTTTTTTACGTGGATTTATTTTGTTTTGAAAAATACATTCTCATTTTTGTATTTTTCTTTTATTTTTAGAAACGGAATTGAAAAAATTTGTTACCAATCGAAAGGCGAGGAATGTAGCAAAACATGATCGTTGTGATGCTGACAAGGAGAATTCACTACAAAGTAAGTTTTTGCATTTAAATTGAATTTCTTGTAAATTTAAATAATTGTATACAGTACCGGTCAAAATTGAGAGATTACCAATTTCCAGATGAATGAAAGACATTTTAAAACGTAAACTAAAAATTATTTCATTTTCATTTTTGAAAAATGGTAAAATTTTAAATAGTACAAGATATTTCAGAAGTCATTTGTCCAACATTTTATTAGGATGTTTTTAAGAAATCGTCATTTTCAATGTTTCACAACAATTTAAATAACTTCTGAAATAATGAACGCTTTTTAATGATCTTCGGGTTATTTCAAATGTCATTTTCTACAGAATGAGAATTACTTAACGTGTAATTTTTTGTTAGAAAATGTAGCTCGTCAAACTTTAACACAAAAAAATTTGAAACAATCTTATTAACAGAAAAATTATTTTTAAAATGAAAACACCTTTTTTATTACACTCGAATCTCGCTATAACGAGAAGTTCAGGAGTCAAGTCTCCCTCTATTACGAGCGCAATTCTTCATTCATTTTTTTTTAGTGTTTACAATTTTTATAATGTCAAAATTACAAACGTAACCTAGTTTAATTTGAACTTTAACATACAGAAATTTATATAAGCTAAAATTTTGAAGATGTTCGACTCATTGATATAATTTCAAATAAGAAGTGACTTTTTATGACTTTTTTTATTTTTATTTTATATAAATAATATTGATTTTAACCAAATTTAATCCAACTGAATGTGCATTTGTTTATAAATAGTGGAGGTAATCGGGAGGAAATTTTTCTCGCTATACCGAGAGACAGAGCCCTCGTTATAGAGAGCGCTCGTTATAGAGAAGGTCGTTATAGCGAGATTTGAGTGTACATTCTTTTGAATAATCTACACCATATTCGTTCAATTCGTTCAACTTGGCCAAAAGAAAATAGAAAATTCCAAAATTTTAAGGACAAGAAATTTTTTTTGCTATCAACTAAAGTTTTTCTAGCTTTGTATTAAGTATAGAAAGATTTCTCAAAAGGTTTGGGGAGGGAGCAAAGAAATCCGGAAATTTTCTGAAAAAATTTTGACATTCGATGAACTTAAAAAAAAAATAGAAAATTCCAAAATTTTAAGAACACGAAATTTTTTTTACAATCAACTAAAGTTTTTCTAGCTTTGTATCAAGTATAGAAAGATTTCTCAAAAGGTTTGGGGAGGGAGCAAAGAAATCCGAAAATTTTCTGAAAAAATTTTGACATTCGATGAACTTAGAAAAAAAAATAGAAAATTCCAAAATTTTTAGAACACGACATTTTTTTTCGATCAACTACAGTTTTTCTAGCTTCGTATCGAGAATTAAAAGATTTCTCAAAAGGTTTGAGGAGGGAGCAAAGAAATTCGAAAATTTTCTGAAAAAATTTTGACATTCAATGAACTTAGCAAAAAAAATAGAAAATTACAAAATTTTAAGAACCCGAAATTTTTTTTGCTATCAACTAAAGTTTTTCTAGCTTTGTATTAAGTATAGAAAGATTTCTCAAAAGGTTTGGGGAGGGAGCAAAGAAATCCGAAAATTTTCTGAAAAAATTTTGACATTCAATGAACTTTGTCAAAAAAAATAGAAAATTCCAAATTTTTTAAATCATGAAATTTTTTTCTCGACAAACTAAAGTTTTTCTAGCTTCGTATCGAGTACTAAAAGATTTCTTAAAAGGTTTGGGGGGGGAGAAAAGAAATCCGAAAATTTTCTGAAAAAATTTTGACATTCGATGAACTTAGAAAAAAAAATTGAAAATTCCAAAATTTTAAGAACACGAAATTTTTTTTACAATCAACTAAAATTTTTCTAGCTTTGTATCAAGTATAGAAAGATTTCTCAAAAGGTTTGAAGAGGGAGCAAAGAAATCCGAAAATTTTCTAAAAAATTTTTGACTTTCGATGAACTTTGTCAAAAAAAATAGAAAATTCCAAATTTTTTAAGTCATGAAATTTTTTTCTCGACAAACTAAAGTTTTTCTAGCTTCGTATCGAGTACTAAAAGATTTCTTAAAAGGTTTGGGGGAGGAGAAAAGAAATCCGAAAATTTTCTGAAAAAATTTTGACATTCGATGAACTTAGAAAAAAAAATTGAAAATTCCAAAATTTTAAGAACACGAAATTTTTTTTACAATCAACTAAAATTTTTCTAGCTTTGTATCAAGTATAGAAAGATTTCTCAAAAGGTTTGGGGAGGGAGCAAAGAAATTCGAAAATTTTCTGAAAAAATTTTGACATTCAATGAACTTAGAAAAAAAAATAGAAAATTCCAAAATTTTAAGAACACGAAATTTTTTTTAATATCAACTAAAGTTTTTCTAGCTTTGTATCGAGAATTAGAAGATTTCTAAAAAGGTTTGGAGAGGGAGCAAAGAAATCCGAAAATTTTCTGAAAAAATTTTGACATTCAATGAACTTAGCAAAAAAAATAGAAAATTACAAAATTTTAAGGACAGGAAATTTTTCTTGCTATCAACTAAAGTTTTTCTAGCTTCGTATCGAGTATTAGAAGATTTCTCAAAAGGTTTGTGGAGGGAGCAAAGAAATCCGAAAATTTTCTGAAAAAATTTTGACATTCAATGATCTTAGCAAAAAAAATAGAAAATTATAAAATTTTAAGGACAGGAAATTTTTCTTGCTATCAACTAAAGTTTTTCTAGCTTTGTATTTAGTATAGAAAGATTTCTCAAAAGGTTTGGGGAGGGAGCAAAGAAATCCGAAAATTTTCTGAAAAAATTTTGACATTCAATGAACTTAGCAAAAAAAATAGAAAATTACAAAATTTTAAGGACAGGAAATTTTTCTTGCTATCAACTAAAGTTTTTCTAGCTTCGTATCGAGTATTAGAAGATTTCTCAAAAGGTTTGTGGAGGGAGCAAAGAAATCCGAAAATTTTCTGAAAAAATTTTGACATTCAATGAACTTAGCAAAAAAAATAGAAAATTACAAAATTTTAAGGACAGGAAATTTTTCTTGCTATCAACTAAAGTTTTTCTAGCTTCGTATCGAGTATTAGAAGATTTCTCAAAAGGTTTGTGGAGGGAGCAAAGAAATCCGAAAATTTTCTGAAAAAATTTTGACATTCAATGATCTTAGCAAAAAAAATAGAAAATTATAAAATTTTAAGGACAGGAAATTTTTCTTGCTATCAACTAAAGTTTTTCTAGCTTTGTATTTAGTATAGAAAGATTTCTCAAAAGGTTTGGGGAGGGAGCAAAGAAATCCGAAAATTTTCTGAAAAAATTTTGACATTCGATGAACTTAGAAAAAAAAAATAGAAAATTCCAAAATTTTTAGAACACGAAATTTTTTTTTCGATCAACTACAGTTTTTCTAGCTTCGTATCGAGAATTAAAAGATTTCTCAAAAGGTTTGGGGAGGGAGCAAAGAAATCCGAAAATTTTCTGAAAAAATTTTGACATTCAATGAACTTAGCAAAAAAAATAGAAAATTACAAAATTTTAAGAACACGAAATTTTTTTTACAATCAACTAAAATTTTTCTAGCTTTGTATCAAGTATAGAAAGATTTCTCAAAAGGTTTGGGGAGGGAGCAAAGAAATTCAAAAATTTTCTGAAAAAATTTTGACATTCAATGAACTTAGAAAAAAAAATAGAAAATTCCAAAATTTTAAGAACAGGAAATTTTTCTTGCGATCAAATAAAGTTTTTCTAGTTTTGTATTAAGTATAGAAAGATTTCTCAAAAGGTTTGTGGAGGGAGCAAAGAAATCCGAAAATTTTCTGAAAAAATTTTGACATTCGATGAACTCAGCCCAAAAAAATAGAAAAATCCAAAATTTTTAGAACATGAAATTTTTTTTTCGATCAACTACAGTTTTTCTAGCTTCGTATCGAGAATTAAAAGATTTCTCAAAAGGTTTGGGGAGGGAGCAAAGAAATTCGAAAATTTTCTGAAAAAATTTTGACATTCAATGAACTTAGCAAAAAAAATAGAAAATTACAAAATTTTAAGGACAGGAAATTTTTCTTGCGATCAAATAAAGTTTTTCTAGCTTCGTATCGAGTACTAAAAGATTTCTTAAAAGGTTTGGCGAGGGAGAAAAGAAATCCGAAAATTTTCTGAAAAAATTTTGACATTCAATGAACTTAGCAAAAAAAAAAAAAAAATTTTTAATTTAGTAGGTATTTGTTTCTGGCTAAGTTCATCGAATGTCAAAATTTTTTCTGAAAATTTCAGGATTTCCTTGCTCCCTCCTCAAACCTATTTAACAATGTTTTTCTCCTTGAAAGGAAACTAGAAAAACTTTACTTGACTAAGAAAAAAATTTCCTGTTTTAAAAAATTATGAATTTTTCTATTGTTTTAAGATAATTTCTTTGAATGTCAGAATTTTTTCAGAAAATATTTGGATTTCTTTGCTCCTCATCTAACCTTTTAAGAAATCTTTTAATACTTGATACGAAGCTAAAAAAAAATTTAGTTGATCGAGAACAAAATTTTCTGACTTTAAAAATTTGGAATTTTCTTTTTTTGGCTAATTTCATGAAATTTCAAAATTTTTTCAGAAAATCTTTGGACTTCAATGCTCCCTCTTCAAACCTTTTGAAAAGTTTTCTCCTACTTTCTACGAAAGTAGAAATATTTTTTTTGATGAAGTAAAAAATTTCCTGTGTGTAAAAACTTGAAATTTTCTAATTTTCTTTTGCTAATTTCATGAAAATTCAAAATTTTTTTAGAAAATCTTAGGATTTCATTGATCTTTTTTTAAACCTTTTGTAAAGTCTTCTTCTTCTTTCTACAAAAGTAGAAAAGTCCTTGTTGATGACGAAAAAAATTTACTGTTTGTCGAAATTTGGAATTTTCTCATTTTCTTTGACTAATTTCATGAAATTTCAAAATTTTTTCAGAAAATCTTAGGATTTCATTGATTCCTCTTCAAACCTCTTGTAAAGTCTTCTTCTACTTTCTACGAAAGTAGAAAAGTCCTTGTTGGTAAAGAAAAAAATTTCCTGTTTGTAAAAACTTGGA